CTGTTTGATCCACCAGGACTCCTTTACCAATGTTTACAAATTCAGAGATTACACATAAAAATCCAGAACCCAGGCCTCTCCAGCTCCCCAGTCAGAAAAGAGGGAAATCTGAGGGAACTCTGACAATAACTATGACAATGTTGATCTATGGGTTTTTTTTTTTTTTTTTGGTCTGTGCTCTTGCCTGGCAACAGCTAACAGCCAATAGCTTCTTAATGTAGGCTCCTCCCATCTGTAGTCTCCTCGGACTCCACACCTTTCTTATTTGTTTTACCTGTAGCCCCCCTTTATAGTCTAGAACTGTGTTGTCCAGTACTGCAGTAGCCAGCCATGTGGGGCTATTGAGCACTTGAAGTGTGGTTAGTCTGCATTAAGATGGGCTGTAAGTGTAAAATTTACATTAGATTTCAAAGAGTAGCAGAGAGAGAGAAAGTAAAATATCTTAATTTTGAAAAATATTGATCACATGTTGAAATGATCATATTTTTGACATATTGGGATAAATAAAATGTTATTAAAATGTATCTCACCTGTTTTACTTTTTTCAATGTGGCTGCTAGAAAATTTAAACTTATATATGTGGTTCACATTATATTTTTATTGGACAGTGTGGGTCTAGAGCCTAAAGGACAAATGAGGGGCCAGGTAAGAGGGATAGGCAGGGGCTGAAACATGAAGGAGGGATTATAATGGGATGGTTAAGGATGTGAGTCACTGATCAAAGTTCAAGACCCATTTCTGCTCCTTACTTGCTGTGCCATCTTGGACAAGTTACTTGACTTCTCTGAACCTTTAGAGTCTTCATTTTGAAATGAGGATGTGGATGATAGCATCTACTCTACAAGACTGTTAATGTTACTATGTAGTTGGCACTGGCTGAAGGATAAAAATCAGTTGTTAAGTCAACACCAAATCATGGTGACAGTCAGAGAACTGTGCTCACAGGGCTGATTTTTTTTTTTTTTAGGATTTGGGTGAAGATTTACAGAGTAAATTCACTTTTCATACAGCAGTTCACATATACTTTGTCTCATGTCATTGA